AGACAAGGTACCCACCTTGGCAGACAGTGTACCCACCTAGGAAGACAGGGTACCCACCTAGGCAGACAGGGTACCCCCCTTGGCAGACAGGTTACCCACGTAGGCAGACAGGGTACCCACCTAGGCAGACAGCGTACCCACATTGGCAGACAGGGTACCCACCTTGGCAGACAGGGTACCCACCTTGGCAGACAGGGTACCCACCTAGGCAGACAGGGTACCCACCTAGGCAAACAGGGTACCCACCTAGGCAGACAGGGTACCCACCTAGGCAGACAGGGTACCCACCTTGGCAGACAGGGTACTCACCTTGGCAGACAGGGTACCCACCTTGGAAGACAGGGTACCCACCTTGGCAGACAGGGTACCCACTTAGGCAGACAGGGTACCCACCTTGGCAGACAGGGTACCCACCTAGGCAGACAGGGTACCCACCTTGGCAGACAGGGTACCCACCTTGGCAGACAGGGTACCCACCTTGGCAGACAGGGCACCCACCTTGGTAGACAGAGTACCCACCTTGGCAGACAGGGTACCCACCTTGGCAGACAGGGTACCCACCTAGGCAGAAAGGGTACCCACCTAGGCAGACAGGGTACCCACCTAGGCAGACAGGGTACCCACCTTGGCAGACAGGATACCCACCTAGGCAGACAGGGTACACACCTTGGCAGGCAGGGTACCCACCTAGGCAGACAGGGTACCCACCTTGGCAGACAGGGTACCCACCTAGGCAGACAGGGTACCCACCTTGGCAGACAGGGTACCCACCTAGGCAGACAGGGTACCCACCTTGGCAGACAGGGTTCCCACCTTGGCAGACAGGGTACCCACCTAGGCAGACAGGGTACCCACCTTGGCAGACAGGGTACCCACCTAGGCAGACAGGGTACCCACCTAGGCAGACAGGGTACCCACCTTGGCAGACAGGGTACCCACCTTGGCAGACAGGGTACCCACCTAGGCAGACAGGGTACCCACCGAGGCAGACAAGGTACCCACCTTGGCAGACAGGGTACCCACCTTGGCAGACAGGGTACCCACCTAGGCAGACAGGGTACCCACTTTGGCAGACAGGGTACCCACCTTGGCAGACAGGGTACCCACCTAGGCAGACAGGGTACCCACCTAGGTAGACAGGGTACCCACCTAGGCAGACAGAGTACCCACCTAGGCAGACAGGGTACCCACCTAGGCAGACAGGGTACCCACCTAGGAAGACAGGGTACCCACCTAGGCAGAGAGGGTACCCACCTAGGCAGACAGGGTACCCACCTTGGCAGACAGTGTACCCACCTAGGAAGACAGGGTACCCACCTAGGCAGACAGGGTACCCACCTTGGCAGACAGGGTACCCACCTAGGCAGACAGGGTACCCACCTAGGCAGACAGGGTACCCACCTTGGCAGACAAGGTACCCACCTTGGCAGACAGTGTACCCACCTAGGAAGACAGGGTACCCACCTAGGCAGACAGGGTACCCCCCTTGGCAGACAGGTTACCCACGTAGGCAGACAGGGTACCCACCTAGGCAGACAGCGTACCCACATTGGCAGACAGGGTACCCACCTTGGCAGACAGGGTACCCACCTTGGCAGACAGGGTACCCACCTAGGCAGACAGGTTACCCACCTAGGCAGACAGGGTACCCACCTTGGCAGACAGGGTACCCACCTTGGCAGACAGGGTACCCACCTTGGCAGACAGGATACCCACCTAGGAAGACAGGGTACCCACCTTGGCAGACAGGGTACCCACCTTGGCAGACAGGGTACCCACCTAGGCAGACAGGGTTCCCACCTAGGCAGACAGGGTACCCACCTTGGCAGACAGGGTACCCACCTTGGCAGACAGGGTACCCACCTTGGCAGACAGGGTACCCACCTAGGAAGACAGGGTACCCACCTAGGCAGACAGGGTACCCACCTTGGCAGACAGGGTACCCACCTTGGCAGACAGGGTACCCACCTTGGCAGACAGTGTACCCACCTAGGAAGACAGGGTACCCACCTAGGCAGACAGGGTACCCACCTTGGCAGACAGGGTACCCACCTTGGCAGACAGGGTACCCACCTAGGAAGACAGGGTACCCACCTAGGCAGACAGGGTACCCACCTTGGCAGACAGGGTACCCACCTAGGCAGACAGGGTACCCACCTAGGCAGACAGGGTAGCCACCTTGGCAGACAGGGTACCCACCTAGGAAGACAGGGTACCCACCTAGGCAGACAGGGTACCCACCTAGGCAGACAGGGTACCCACCTAGGAAGACAGGGTACCCACCTAGGCAGACAGGGTACCCACCTTGGCAGACAGGGTACCCAGCTAAGTAGACAACAAAACATGCTCCAGTGTTCAACTTTGAAACAATCAAAAAAATCAGGGTGGTGTTAGAACCCATGGTGAGTGAGTTTTAGAGCTCACTAACCATGGGTTCAACCCCCCACTCATCCCGGTTCAACCCCCCACTCATCCCGGTTCAACCCCTTACTCATTCATGGTAGTTGCCATTCTCTGGTCTGGTTTAGGATACCAACAGTCGTGGTCCAGTCGTGAGAGTCGTACCTCTCATCTCTGAAGTTCGGGAGAGAATCGAATCCTCCGAATGAAAAAAAATGGTTCGGTTCAGGATTCGGAACATTCTAGTGAACTTGTTTCGGAAGATACCAAGACTGTGTGTACTCTGTGTGTACTCTTTGTGTACTCTGTGTACTCTTGAGACAGCAGAGGTAAAGCTTTTTGTTTCCATTTGTGGTTGACGGGAGACCTCATGTTTCGAGTTAGTGTGTACTCACCTGTTTGTACTCACCTATTTGTACTCACCTATTTGTACTCACCTGTTTGTGGTTGCAGGGGTCGAGACTCGGCTTCTGGCCCCGCCTCTTCACTGATCGCTACTAGGTCCTCTCTCTCTCTGCTCCGTGAGCTTTGTCACACCTCGTCTTAAAGCTATGTATGGTTCCTGCCTCCACTACATCACTTGCCAGACTATTCCACTTCCTGACAACTGTATGACTGAAGAAATACTTCCTAACATCCCTTTGACTCATCTGAGTCTTCAACTTCCAACTGTGACCCCTTGTTTCTGTGTCCCCATCTCTGGAACATCCTGTCTCTGTCCACCTTGTCTATTCCACGCAGTATTTTATGTGTCGTTATTATATCTCCCCTGACCCTCTTGTCCTCCAGTGTCGTCAGGCCGATTTCCCTTAACCTGTCTTCGTAGGACATTCCCCTTAGCTCTGGAACTAACCTTGTTGCAAACCTTTCACTTTCTCTAATTTTTTGACGTGTTTGACCAGGTGTGGGTTCCAAACTGGTGCTGCGTACTCCAGTATGGGCCTGACATACACCGTTTACAGTGTCTCGAACGATTCCTTACTGAGGTATCAGAACACTATTTCCAGGTCTGACAAGCGCCCATATGCTGCAGCAGTTATTTGGTTGATGTGGGCTTCCGGAGATGTGCTCGGTGTTATACTCACCCCAAGATCTTTCTCCATGAGCGAGGTTTGCAGTCTTTGGCCTCCTAGCCTATACTCCGTCTGCGGTCTTCTGTGCCCTTCCCCGATCTTCATGACTTTGCATTTGGCGGGGTTAAATTTGAGGAGCCAGTTGCTGGACCAGGTGTCCAGCCTGTCCAGGTCTCTTTGAAGTCCTGCCTGATCCTCATCCGATTTAATTCTCCTCATTAACTTCACATCATCTGCGAACAGGGACACTTCTGAGTCTATACAGAGGTTTGCAGTTTTATCTATCAGTGTTTATACACTGAATTTACTTTATTCCTTAACTTTAGGGATAAACTGTTCTTGGTCTGTGGTAAAAAGGTGATCTAAAGCCTATTGTGGCCGATGGGGTTTAAAACCTAACGAATCATGCAATCCTGATGCTTCGACAAGTTACTCCGACTGCGCACTAGTGCCAGGGGTAGCTGACGTTGAGCAATCTGTCGAGGGTGTTGTGTAAACTATAGAGGGTACTGAGCAAGCCATCTACGGTTTAGGGTGTTGAATAAGCTATCGAATGAAATGAAGGAGCTATCGAGAGGGGTTTACCACGATATCCAGGTTGCCGAGCAAGCTATCAAAGGTGTTACTGTGATGCATGTACTCGTGTGGGAGTGGACGAGCGAGAACGCTCGTGTGGTTAGGTGGATGCTGCCTCTAAAAGACTCACAGATCATCTTGACCAAGAGTGTACACTGTGGTATTTCCTGAAAGTGAAAAGAATCAGAGATCCAAGAGGAATCTGAATCCTTGTAGCATCTGAACGTTACTACGTCTATAGGTATACGCCTCTCCGGGTATATACGCTTAGCGTTTAATTTAGTCCATATTTTAAGGGTTCATATATTCTACCATGGTAGTATGCAGTATACCTACATATCAGAACGTTTTTTTTTATTTTGCTTTATTTATTTTCAGTATTTATTACATGTGCTATTTTAAGTTAGGTTACATTAGGGAAAATCAAGGCGATTTAACCAATTGTATTTTTATAAATGCGTCTAAATTCGCGGTGACTCGGGGCCTGTGATTTAGAAGGAACCGCGGAGAGTTTGTGGATGATGATTTCTGCAACAATTGGCTCTTAACAACCAAACAGGTCTAGTTGGTCTGGGAAAAGCTTTCTGAGGAGGACCTGTCGTCAGTGTTGACACTGTCCTTTACCCTTTCCTTCCCTTTCTCTGTCCTCTACCCCTTCCTTTCCTCTCTCTGTCCTCACACGCCCTCTATTAAACTATATAATAGGCCTTAAGCACCGTAATTACAAATAAGTATATATGCTCAATAATAACTCACATGGAGACAGAAACACAGGATATTAATCGATCTCTAAATTTTTGACCCCCTTCTGCTGAAGAGTATCCCAGAAGTGGGTCAAATTAATCTCCCGTGTTTCTATCTCTGTGGGTTATTACTGATCACTGGTAAGCGTTCATTACTCTTTAGTTATTCATGAGTACATATGTTAAAGGGAATGCAAAAATTCTTACAATATGCAAAAAGTATTTATTCACAGACTCACGAAATCGTAACAAAAACGACTGCAAACAAACCACGGAACTGGTGCGGACTGAACCCGCGGCGAGCGTGTCCTAAAACTCCAAGACTCTCATCATCACACATTTGTCCGTAATTACCAAAGATCTCAAGGATATAAATTACTCTCCAACCTGACATACAAATCTCCAAAATAGTTTTTGGGATCCTAACCTCTGTCTTAATCTTTTCCAGATTGTTATAACTCACTCATTATAACGTCTAGGGTTAATTCCGTCAACACACTGTAACACTCACTTGCCTCGTCATCCTACCAGATTTCTTTATGTATAAAAAAAAAGACCACACTGAGGCGTTTTTTTAAAACCTGCTGCATGCTAAATACCAGTTTTATATGTAAATTTATCAGCCATGTTGTTGTTGGGGTTTATAGGGCCACTGACAGTATACGCCGTATCGAGCAGATATGTGTATATGCTCAATTATCCGCACGTCGGAGAGCGAACCATAGGACGACTTTTCGATCCGACTTGGACCAATAATCAGTCAACCAGAAGCTTCTAGTTGACTGATTAATGGTCCAAATCAGATTGCAACGTCTTCATACGTTTTATCTTCCTATGTGCGGGTTATTTATGTATCGTTCCAGTCACGATATTATGCCTTTTTATTCTCCCTGTACTAATAATTTATAAAATCCAAAAACAATTTGAATGACGAGGGTTGTTGCTGGAAGGCGAAGGGAAGCTTGTAATACTCGTAGAGGGGAGGCAGAACCTGGGCGTTTGACACAGCAGGCTGACTGAAGTCTGTGGATCGTCAGCCTGAAGGCTGACGAGTGCTGGTTGACGGCAGAGTCAGTGGAGTAGGTTGTGGTATAGCTCCACCAGGTTGGTGTCGAAATCTGTATGGGTCACGTGTTTCATGTTGGGCGAACTGGCCTTTTGGGTTTTGGTATGCCACACAAGCACCTGTAGGTAGGTCAGATGGGGGTCAACACACGGGTAACAATATCAGTTAGGTGATATGGGGTCAGAGTAGGCCTGTTGTATCATTCAGGTGGTGATGCTGGTTCAACAGGTCAGTTGTGCAGTCATCGCGGTCATAGTGGGTCAACAAATCGTTATCACTTGATATATAAACAAGAGAAATAAAAAGGGGGAATATTTTTTTTTTTTTTTTTGAAGATTTTATATTCGTGGTCTCTGTGTCTGAGCTACTGACCTGAGTGCAGCCAGAGGCTAGGGGTTCCAGGTCATCCAATTCTAGCCTGAGCTGCCTGAGGAAGCCATCCTCCAGGTAGGACAGACGCAGAGGTATAGTGGCGTTAGGGTTGGCGTGTATCACACGCAGGTTGACTGCGAAGCCAGCCATATCAACAGCGAACTTCCGTCCTGCCTGTGTGCAAAGGAGTGTCGGAGTCAAACTTTGGTACACTACCTGAAGTATACACAAAAGGGCAACGACATCACAGTTCAGACGGCCCTTCAAACTGCAACATTCCCCATCCCTCCTTCGGAGTGCAGGCACCGTATTTCTCACTTCCAGGATTCTAAGTCCGGCTAACTGGTTTTCCTGACTCTTTAAATGTTACATTACTCACACTGAAACAGCATGTCAGATCATAAAACAGCTCTTATCTCTATTCCTTTCTAACGCTCACACAAGCCTGTTGGTTGTCCAAGCCCCTAGTACTCAATACCTCCTTCATCTTTACCCTCCAACCTTTCCTAGAAAGACCTACCCCCTCCTTCCTCCCACCTCAGATTTATACGCCCTCCAAGTCATCCTATTTTCTCCCTTTCCAGTTGTCCAAACCACCACAACAACCCTTCGTCATCTCCGAAATATCTGCACAATATTCACACTACACATTGCCCTCCAGCACATCTCTACTGCCTTCAGCCTTTTTTCCACTGCAACATTCACAACCCATCCTTCACACCCATACAACAGTGTTGGTACCACTATATTTCTCTTTTTGCTTTTGATGGAAGTTCTTATCTCAGAGAACCTGTATTTAAATATCCACCGATATATACACTTGGTGTATATACACTCATGCTCTCAGGGTTGACACATAGATAAATATGCAAAGTGGAAGATAAGATAGTCTGTGCTAAAAAAAAACGAACCACTGGAATTATCTGGTTTTCTTACAATGAAGTGAAAAAGCCAGAGGTTGTTCAGTCTGGGAACAGGAGGGACTCTGATGAAATGTGGGCAGGAAAAAATTAAGATAAGATAAGATAAGATAAGATTTCGGTCGGATTTTTAACCCCGGAGGGTTAGCCACCCAGGATAACCCAAGAAAGTCAGTGCGTCATCGAGGACTGTCTAACTTATTTCCATTGGGGTCCTTAATCTTGTCCCCCAGGATGCGACCCACACCAGTCGACTAACACCCAGGTACCTATTTGCTGCTAGGTGAACAGGACAATAGGTGTAAGGAAACGTGTCGGAATTTCCACCCGCCGGGAATCGAACCCGGGCCCTCCGTGTGTGAAGCGGGAGCTTTAGCCACCAGACCACCGGGCCACTCAAGAAGTAAATAGACTATAAATCTAGCAAGGGAAAGGGAGGAGAGAATCTCCTGGAAATCGTCTTGAAGAGCAAGGAGAATGTCTGCTAGAAAGCGTCCTAGAAGAGCAGGAGAGGGAGGCTCACCTGGAAGGAGTCATGGAAGGCGACCACCTTGCTGTTCCTGACGATGGGTGAGCTGACGCCCAGCTTCAGGATCATCCCCACTGGAAATACTGACGCCTTCTTCGTCGTCCTGATCTGTTGAGCGTTACACGGTCTGTCAAGATAAGATGTAAACACCACACACACACACGCTGTTCTACAAGCTACGAAATTAAAATTCTCCATTGTTCAATTGGCCACACAGTAAAAACCTGCTGGAGGATTAGCTTATTGGAAGAGCTCACTCCACCTGCTGGAAGAGTGGCCCCACCCCTGTGAGATGTCTACCTCCTGGAATTGGACCACCCACCTGATGGGGGACCCACCTGCTCAAAGAGTCTGATATCGTAGGAGTTGTCGTCGTCAGCAAAGTAAAGGACACCATCCATGGCGTTCTCCCGTAGCCACCTCAAACCTTCCCGTCTGTAGCAACAAAAACTTTGTTTAACTGATGTAACATTCCAGCATAAAGCCGTTTTATTATTATTACATTCATGGGGAGCACTGAACCCATTGGGGTCATACAGTGCCCCGGGGAATGGAAAGCATTCAGGCTTGATTCGAAGAACTGGAGCATTGATCGCATTTCTTAGATCAAAAACACCTCACCAACTTCAAGGAACCTTCTCTGAGGGGTATATAGAACCCTAGCCAGACTTTTCTTTTACATCAGCTGCCATAGCCTGGTGGTGAAAGTCGAGGCTCACAGCATTCAGGTCCGGGGATCAAATCTCCGGTTGGAGAAGAATGAAAAGAGAATGAGGAGTGAAACTCATGTCACCATCACTTCATTCTTCATCCCTCATTAATTTTTAATTCGATCTTTATAACATTAGAGCACCTCAGTGACGGGAGGGGGGGGGATGCCTTGATGTCGGTGAAGGGTCGCTGATCAAAGGAGTTGGAGCTATCCCCCTTCCTCGATTCAAATCTTTCAGTTCCCAGGCTATGTATGACCCTATGGGTTCAAGACACCGCTGTATGACCCTGGTGGTTTAGCGCTTAGTTTTAATTATAATAATAATTTGAGTTCAGGAATGATTCAGGGATATACACAATATACTCAGATCACAACATAACTGAGGTTCAGACATGTATGCGTGGAGCCCCAGACCGACATAATGAGACTAGTCACGAGGGAGCATTCACCAAATTCAACTTCAATAACAAAAACATAAAGTGGGACCAAGTAAACCAAGTCCTAACCGATATAAGCTGGGAAGATATACTAAGCAACACAGACCCCAACTTATGCCTAGAACAGATTAACTCGGTGGCACTCGATGTATGCACAAGGTTTATTCCTCTAAGAAAAAGGAGGAGTAGATGTAAAATAGAAAGAGACAGGCACTCCCTTTACAGGCGACGGAAAAGAATAACAGAGCGGCTAAAAGAGGTCAATATATCTGAAATGCGTAGGGAGACACTGGTCAGAGAAATAGCAAGCATCGAACTTAAGCTAAAAGAATCCTTTAGGAGTCAGGAATCGCAGGAAGAACTAGAAGCCATAAATGAAATCGAAAGAAACCCAAAGTATTTCTTCTCCTATGCCAAATCAAAATCGAGAACAACGTCCAGTATTGGGCCCCTACTTAAACAAGATGGGTCCTACACAGATGACAGCAAGGAAATGAGTGAGCTACTCAAGTCCCAATATGACTCAGTTTTTAGCAAGCCGCTAACCAGACTGAGAGTCGAAGATCAAAATGAATTTTTTATGAGAGAGCCACAAAATTTGATTAACACAAGCCTATCCGATGTTATCCTGACGCCAAATGACTTCGAACAGGCGATAAATGACATGCCCATGCACTCTGCCCCAGGGCCAGACTCATGGAACTCTGTGTTCATAAAGAACTGCAAGAAGCCCCTATCACGAGCCTTTTCCATCCTATGGAGAGGGAGCATGGACACGGGGGTCGTCCCACAGTTACTAAAAACAACAGACATAGCCCCACTCCACAAAGGGGGCAGTAAAAGCAACAGCAAAGAACTACAGACCAATAGCACTAACATCTCATATCATAAAAAAACTTTGAGAGGGTCCTAAGAAGCAAGATCACCACCCATCTAGAAACCCATCAGTTACACAACCCAGGGCAACATGGGTTTAGAACAGGTCGCTCCTGTCTGTCTCAACTATTGGATCACTACGACAAGGTCCTAAATGCACTAGAAGACAAAAAGAATGCAGATGTAATATATACAGACTTTGCAAAAGCCTTCGACAAGTGTGACCATGGCATAATAGCGCACAAAATGCGTGCTAAAGGAATAACAGGAAAAGTCGGTCGATGGATCTATAATTTCCTCACTAACAGAACACAGAGAGTAGTCGTCAACAGAGTAAAGTCCGAGGCAGCTACGGTGAAAAGCTCTGATCCACAAGGCACAGTACTCGCTCCCATCTTGTTCCTCATCCTCATATCCGACATAGACAAGGATGTCAGCCACAGCACCGTGTCTTCCTTTGCAGATGACACCCGAATCTGCATGACAGTGTCTTCCATTGCAGACACTGCAAGGCTCCAGGCGGACATCAACCAAATCTTTCAGTGGGCTGCAGAAAACAATATGAAGTTCAACGATGAGAAATTTCAATTACTCAGATATGGTAAACATGAGGAAATTAAATCTTCATCTGAGTACAAAACAAATTCTGGCCACAAAATAGAGCGAAACACCAACGTCAAAGACCTGGGAGTGATCATGTCGGAGGATCTCACCTTCAAGGACCATAACATTGTATCAATCGCATCTGCTAGAAAAATGACAGGATGGATAATGAGAACCTTCAAAACTAGGGAGGCCAAGCCCATGATGACACTCTTCAGGTCACTTGTTCTATCTAGGCTGGAATATTGCTGCACACTAACAGCACCTTTCAAGGCAGGTGAAATTGCCGACCTAGAAAATGTACAGAGAACTTTCACGGCGCGCATAACGGAGATAAAACACTTCAATTACTGGGAGCGCTTGAGGTTCCTAAACCTGTATTCCCTGGAACGCAGGAGGGAGAGATACATGATTATATACACCTGGAAAATCCTAGAGGGACTAGTACCGAACTTGCACACGAAAATCACTCACTACGAAAGCAAAAGACTTGGCAGACGATGCACCATCCCCCCAATGAAAAGCAGGGGTGTCACTAGCACGTTAAGAGACCATACAATAAGTGTCAGGGGCCCGAGACTGTTCAACTGCCTCCCAGCACACATAAGGGGGATTACCAACAGACCCCTGGCAGTCTTCATGCTGGCACTGGACAAGCACCTAAAGTCAGTTCCTGATCAGCCGGGCTGTGGCTCGTACGTTGGTTTGCGTGCAGCCAGCAGCAACAGCCTGGTTGATCAGGCTCTGATCCACCAGGAGGCCTGGTCACAGACCGGGCCGCGGGGGCGTTGACCCCCGGAACTCTCTCCAGGTAAACTCCAGGTAAGTTACAGCCACAGCCAGAGACACAGACATAAACATAGCCACAGACACAGACACAGTCACAGTCACAGCCACAGCCACAGCCACAGACACAAACACAGATACAGACACAGTCACAGCCACAGTCACAGCCACAGCCACAGACACAGACACAAACACAGCCACAGCCACAGTCACAGCCACAGCCACAGACACAGACACAGTCACAGACACAGTCACAGCCACAGTCACAGCCACAGTCACAGCCACAGCCACGGCCACAGACACAGTCACAGCCACAGTCACAGCCACAGACACAGACACAGACACAGTCACAGCCACAGCCATATACACAGTCACACAGACACAGTCACAGACACAGACACAGTCACAGACACAGCCATATACACAGTCACACAGACACAGACACAGTCACAGACACAGCCATATACACAGTCAGCACAGACACAGACACAGTCACAGACACAGCCATATACACAGTCCCAACACAGACACACAGACACAGTCACAGACACAGCCATATACACAGTCACACAGACACAGTCACAGACACAGACACAGTCACAGACACAGCCATATACACAGTCACACAGACACAGAAACAGTCACAGACACAGCCATATACACAGTCACACAGACACAGACACAGACACAGTCACAGACACAGCCATATACACAGTCACACAGACACAGCCACAGTCACAGACACAGCCATATACACAGTCACACAGACACAGACACAGTCACAGACACAGTCACAGACACAGCCATATACACAGTCACACAGACACAGACACAGTCACAGACACAGTCACAGTCACAGACACAGTCACAGACACAGCCATATACACAGTCACACAGACACAGACACAGTCACAGACACAGTCACAGTCACAGTCACAGACACAGTCACAGTCACAGACACAGTCACACAGTCACAGACACAGTCACGTCACAGACACAGTACACAGTCCAGACACAGCACAGCCAAATCACAGTCCACGACAGACACAGTCACAGTCACAGACACAGTCACACAGTCACAGACACAGTCACATACACAGACACAGTCACACAGTCACAGACACAGTCACAGTCACAGACACACAAGAAAGCATATAAAGTCCAAATGAAAGATTTACAAGAAATGCAAATTAAATCGTCCATGAGATGACACCTGAAGTGCATCTGTCTGAGTATAGTAAAAATACAATCTGAAATTCAGAATCGTCAAGACTATCATTAAATAGTTTAAAAGAAAAGCACTTTTTTTTTTATTGTAATCACTTGCTAATTAAACAGATTCTGCAACCATATAAATTATTGTTCCAAGCATTTTTTTAACAGACACCGTAAATTAAATTAAGTTCTAGAGAAAAAAATTTTGATAAATTGTAATCGACACATGTGTCGCTTTTCGGTTACAGCGTCGCAGTCACAGACCAAGGACAGTCACAGCCATATACACAGTCACGACAGACACAGTCACACGTCACGTCACACAGTCACAGACACAGTCACTACAGTCACAGACCAGTCCGTCAACGAGTGTTGCGCGAGACACAGCCATATACCACAGTCAACAGACCAGTCACACAGACACAGTCACACAGACCAGTCCACACAACACAGTCACACAGTCACACAGTCACAGACACAGTCACACAGTCACAGTCACACAGTCACAGACACAGTCACAGACACAGCCATATACACAGTCACACAGACACAGTCACACAGACACAGTCACACAGACACAGTCACACAGACACAGTCACACAGACACAGTCACACAGACACAGTCACACAGTCACACAGTCACAGACACAGTCACACAGTCACAGTCACACAGTCACAGACACAGTCACAGACATAGCCATATACACAGTCACACAGACACAGTCACACAGACACAGTCACACAGACACAGTCACAGTCACACAGTCACAGACACAGTCACACAGTCACAGTCACACAGTCACAGACACAGTCACAGACACAGCCATATACACAGTCACACAGACACAGTCACACAGACACAGTCACACAGACACAGTCACACAGACACAGTCACACAGTCACACAGTCACAGTCACAGTCACACAGTCACAGTCACACAGTCACAGACACAGACGCTGCCACCATCAACGATACTAAAAAGTTGTCCAATATATTGAAAGATTTACAGAAATTGGCAAATTTTAAATCGTCTGAGATGACACCTGGAAGGTGCGGTTGTCTGAGTATTAAGTAAATATTACAATCTGGAAATTCAGATCGTAAGTATTCATTATATGTTTAAAAGAAAACGCGTTTTTTTTTTTTTTTGTAATCATTGCTTATCTAACAGATTCTGAATATATAAATTATTTGTTCAAGCTTTTTTTTAAACTACCGTAAATTAATTAGTTTTAGAGAAAAATATTTTGATAAATTTGTGAATCGACATGGTGGCGCTTTTCGGGTTTAAAGCGTTGCTGAAACTGACAATGGGAGGTGTTAATGCATGGGAGAGGATGGTGTGTGCGAGGGAGATGGTAATTAGTGTGTGGTCATGATATCTTGTTGATGGTGGGGTTACTGTGATGGTTGCTGCTGGTGCTACCACACGTCCAAAGTCTTGTTGATCAAACTCTTGCCTCACACCCCCACCTATATACACTCAAACTGCGCCACAACATTTACAGGAAGATTCATCAATAAACACATTTTCTGCAGTATAACGGTGGGTCTGACATCACTGATGTTTCCTGGCATGAAGTCAGGCAACAGTTTTTTTGCAAGTGATTATGAGCCTTGTGCTTGCTGGTATAAAGTCTAGAACACTATTAATTATATTACGAACTCTCATGCGTTTTAGTTTTGGTTTCAGGTTTATCCTTACCATAACTCTGATTGGTACTTCTGCGAGTTTATGGTACTGAGTTTCTATTCTCCAAGACTGTAATATTAACCTGTTTCAAACATTCTAAAGCTGTTTATTGTCTTCATAAAGTGTCTGGCTGTTCTTGTGGCTTTATTGGACTTTTAATATGTTGGTTTTTATTCCTTCCTCTAGGTTTATATATAAAATGTGACCCACAAAAGAGGGTCGGTGCCAACACTGATCCCATGGAACGCCACTTGTGAATGATCCCCATTTTGATTTCTCTCTATTTATAAACATATTTTTTGCCTTATTAATTCAATGATCCTTGGCATAATTTTTCTTCGAATTTCTGTTGCTAGTTTCCATAAGCTTCACGTGTAGAACTATGCCTGACAAATTCTAGAGTAGCACTGTATTCCTTAGCGTGACCCACCACTCTTTGTGTCAGAGACTTGACTCTTCCTTTATGATGGAATAATTGACTAGTGGCCAGATACCTTCCGATTCAAGTCTGTGAAATTTCCAACTTCAACTAAATCCCCAAACCGAATCAGTTGAAGAATGGCAGCGGTCAATCCAGCTATTTCAATCATGCAGGAAGAATCGTCTTTCTATGGCTTTCCGTATGAGATTCCCCCACTTGCTTAGTCGACAAATCTTTTATATTTCCCTCGTAAGTTGCATATTGTTTGTTGGGAACGTTGATGCAGAGTTCTGCGTTCTCTTTTCGCTCTTATTTATTGTTGGTATCGCGTCGGCTATCTTCCCTCCGACACTTATCATTTCTTGTACTTATAGGAGTAGTTTGTGCAACAATTTGAACCTCAGTCTTCGTCGTGATATCCCAGGGACCTTGCATGCTTTTGCGTGGAAAAGGACACTTTGGTATATATCAGGTTAATGCAAAAAGAAACGTTTCGCCACGAGTGGTGTCATCTGCCCTGAACTGTCCTTTTCCACGGCTCGTCCTTGTCACCGTACCATCAACGAGCCTTTCTTGATTTTGTGTCTAGTTCTATCAAGGAAGCCTCCTGTTCTTCCTCGATAGTTGCTCTAATATTCGAGGATTCCACTTAGTTTGTGTTCAACTGTCATCGCTTCTATTGGCCCCTTGCTCATTTGTAAGCACAGTGAGCTCTGCCGTGGAACTCATTGCATATTTCTCTCTCGTTTCTCGTGACTGGTTTGTTTTGTCAGGGTCTGTGACATTGAAGGAGTGGAACTGTTCTGTCAGGGTCTGCATCGTTGAAGGAGTGGAACTGTTCTGTCATGGTCTGCATCGTTGAAGGAGTGGAACTGTTCTGTCAGGATGCGGGACGTCAAAGAATTGTGCCTTCTCTGTGCGTATTGCGTTGAATGACTGTGTTTACTGTCAGGTTGTGGCGTCAAAGGATTGAATTTCTTCTCTCAGGTTGCAGGGAAAAACACATTTTTTCCTATTAGTCCCTATTAAGCAATGCATATCACTTTTCATGGATAACTGACCGTAATATGTTTTATTTCTCAAGAAAAATTACCCTTTGGATGATTCCTGTCTACCTGTTTATGGCTGAGCACCGAATGACTAACGTGATCTCCAGCTCCTACTTTTCTAAATTTAACAAGACTCGTACTGGCTGCCTACTACGCAAAATTGACTTTGGCCTACCGTAGGCCTACCCTTTGCAACTAGAGCAACTTTTAAGAATGCTGATCATTTGCCCATTGCAGATCACCTTTAAAAAAATATTTGAAGACCGCATTTCCTACATGTAACTAAATTATTACCTATTGGATTTCCCTTCAGTCAATATTACCAAATTCTCAAATGTTTAAAGATCCCATGAGCTTCCTGTAACAAATATTTTCACCTGTTAAAATCCTTTATATCATCTATAAATAAATTCTTACCTGTTGAAATGCCCCATATTTACCTGCTTCTAATTACTTATTTAATTGTTCCTTATTTATCTGTAAGTAATTTCCGATTTGATGAAGAGACACTGGTAAAATTGAAATCTTTATTGAGATATTTTTCTTGGCCTCCAGTGGAACGTTGTTACTAAGAAAGATTTTGTTCGACTATATACGTCTATCATCTTGTTGGTTCTTCGTTGTTTGGGATTTGGAGTCTATTGTGAATACGATAATCGTCCACAATACTGACAAGTTGTTAAGTAAGACATGTGCAGAAATAACCTGCACATAGGAGAGAGAAGCTTACGACGACGTTTCGGTCCGACTTGGACCATTTACAAAGTCACTCCATCAGAAAGGAGAGGAGGCAGTTTATATAGGCCAACTGATAGGGACGGGACAAGAGAGGTAGTAGGAAAGGGTTATTTGTGTATTGTTCCAGTCACGATATTGTGCCGTTTTGTTCCTTAAGACACGTGTGCAACAGCTAGGTATCTTTATTCCGATTTTGTCAACTATAGGTCCTTTGCCAGCTAGCACCGTATTGAACCTTGGCTTCTCGGTCTATCATTAGCCCAACCTCTCACCTGTTAAAGACTCCCTTGCCCATCGACTTCTGGTTCTTGTGTTGCGGTGGTGTTGTTGCACACAGGTGGGTGAAGGGAAGACCACTCCTCTCCAGTAGCTCACTCACCACCTGGCTCCTCATCTGAACGGTGGAGATAAATGGTATAAAATACAGACACGCTGGAAAAAAAAGATCTGTTTGTTACTTGATAAAGTTCACTGTTGTGAGCGAAATGTAGTTAATAAACGATAGCATTATACAGCATGTGTGTGTGTGTGTGTATTCATCTACAGGAGGAAGAACTCTGTTCACCTGAGGTACAGACGCGTACTCGTAATAATAATAGTGAAGATGAGTACTGTATATTCTGGCCTCAAATTGAGACCGTCTCCAGGAGATTTACTCTTTGTAAGACAGAAACACAATAGTACTCTTCTGTTTTATCTCGTGTGTGGGTTTCTTTACGAGAGTGACAAGAGTTAATTACTACCCTAGTGCAGGGCACGCATGCTAACGTTCCCAGGACCCACCTCGGGGTGAGGTTCCTTGATGCCGGTGAAGAACTCTTAACCCGAGGAACCTGACCCGCCCTTCCTTTTCTTGGGTTAAATCTGAAAGTCACCCATTTCCCCACCAGGCGCTACATGACCCCTGTGGGTTTAACGCATCCCCATGAATGTATTAATAACGCCTCCAGGATAAAGAAAAAAATGTGTAATGTACAATGTGTACAGAAGGTAGAGAAGATGCGTACTAAGGAGATTCCAGGATCACCAGCACAGCACAAGTGATGCTGGTGTGTGTGTGTCGGGTTGTATTACCACCGCTGTTAGCAGTGAATCATTGTGTGAGGTGTCTGTACGAGCCAGTTAACAAATGATGATGTTGGGTAGAGTGTCTGGTGATGAGCGGACGGAGTAGCGAGCCTACACCACTCCTTGGGAAGAGTGACTCTCAGAGTGTCACCTAGCCAGTTGAGATGATATATTTGGTTGGCATACTTGAGGTCATCTGCGGCAGCTGCATCCACACACACACACAGGACTTCAGGAAGGACTTCCAAGAGACCTGGACAGACTGGACACGTGGTCCAGCAACTGGCTTCTCGAATTTAACCCCGCCAAATGCAAAGTCATGATGATCGGGGGGAGGGCACAGAAGACCGCAGACGTAGTATAGGCTAGGTGGTCAAAGACTTCAAACCTCGCTCAAGGAGAAAGATCTTGGGGTGAGTATAACACCGAGCACGTCTCCGGAAGCACACATCAACCAGGTAACTGCTGCAGCATATGGGCGCCTGGCAAACCTGAGAATAGCGTTCCGATACCTCAGTAAGGAATCGTTCAAGACACTATACACCGTGTACGTCAGGCCCATACTAGAGTACGCAGCACCAGTTTGGAACCCACACCTGGTCAAGCACGTCAAGAAATTAGAGTAAGTGCAAAGGTTTGCAACAAGGTTAGTTCCAGAGCTAAGAGGAATGTCCTGTGAAGAAAGGTTAAGGGAAATCGGACTGACGACACTAGAGGACAGGAGGGTTAGGGGAGACATGATAACGACATACAAAATACTGCGTGGAATAGACAAGGTGGACAGAGACAGGATGTTCCAAAGAGGGGACACAGAAACAAGGGGTCACAATTGGAAGCTGAAGACCTAGATGAATCAAAGGGATGTTAGAAAGCATTTCTTCAGTCACAGAGTAGTCGAGAAGTGGAATAGCCTAGCAAGTGAGGTAGTGGAGGCAGGAACCATACATAGCATAAAGATGAGGTATGATAAAGCTCATGGAGCAGGGATAGACAGGACCTAGTAGCACTCGGTGAAGAGGCGGGGCCAGGAGCTGAGTATCGACCCCTGCAACTACAATTAGGTGAGTACACACACACACACACACACACACACACACACACACACACACACACACACACACACACACACACACACACACAATCCTCCTTGCGGTCACCTGCGGCGGCTACACCCACACACACATTCCTCCCTGCGGCCATCTGAGGACTGCACAAGACCTCTGAAATGATGGCGTACTGATGCGTACCCCGGCATCCATCTGCTAGCTGAGACTTCATTATGCAGGCAGTGTGTGCCCCAGCCTTCGTGGACTGACTGAGGGCCACCATCATGCAGGCAGAGTGCCCAGGATTCATGGACTGACTGAGGGCCACCATCATGCAGACGGAGTGCTCAGCCTTCATGGACTGACTGAGGGCCACCGTCATGCAGTGTTATCAACACCTAACTCGTGTCCATGGCTTCTTCTCCGAGAGATCTCATCAGAAAGCGGAAGTGTTTACTCATCTCAGAGGATTCTTTAGATTAGTATTGTTTGGTGGGGTGATGTTGGTAGTGATGCCGGTGGTATGGTGTAGAAGGTACAAGACATGGTGGAGTGGTTGGGAGGAGTAGATTGGTGGTGAGGATAGTATGGTGTGGGGACAGCATGTAAAATATTGGTGTGGTATGTAGATATCTTGTTCACGTAAAACTCTTCTATAAATCATGAGAAATTTAGAGTAGTCTGCCCATACATGCTTAACGTTTTCAGTAATAATAATAATAATAATAATAATAATAATAATAATAATAATAATAATAATAATAATTAAATAATATAATTATTAATGAAACTAATAATAACACTGGAGGAGTTGTACATGAACCTAGTACTGGCAGCTTTACGAAATAAGAAAGGGGTAAGGGGATATATCACGTCTTACATCGACACCATGCCCAGCCCTTCTAGGGCAGGGTAGGTGCCTGAGCTCGAGCTTGCAGCTCACAAGACTGTCCTTCCCAATAACCCCCTTGGGGCGGGGATGGCAGACCAGAGAGGCCTAGGTTCTTCCTACGAGCCCCGTGAGGGCGGGGAATGTGGCTAGGCCTGGGGACAGTTGGTCCCAACGATGAGGGGGTACTTGTGCCTCCTCCCATGACAAGACTTAGGTCTCAGGACACTCCCTAGACAGGGAGCCAAGGCCGGGTCACCACTTGGAAAAGGCCCGGGCCGGGAGAATACCGGCGAATATTTAATAATAATAATAATAATAATAATAATAATAATAATAATATCAGTGTTAGTCATGTCATGACCCGCTGCTGGAGCTTATAGACAACTGACAGAGATCTTCCACTGGCTTACCCGGCGACCCCTCTAAAAATTATGTTTATGATTATAATTACTAAACGTTAGCATAATCGATGGTTTTGGGATCGACGGGTCGTTTAATACGAGGTTGTTCCCCAGGGTAGTGAGTTGTGATGAATGGTTTGAAAAACCGACAAGTTGAAGATTGAGACACTTATGCAGCATATGGGAATCTTTATTCAGGAAACGTTTCGCCACACAGTGGCTTCATCAGTCCAATACAAAGAGGAAGGCGTAAGGAGAGGAGGAGAATGAGGTAATCAGTCCCTCAACCTGGAGTCGATACATGTACCAACTAGCACTGACACATGACACATGTACCAACTAGCACTGACACATGACACATGTACCAACTAGCATGATAGGACAAAAGCAGGGACAAATCCCTACTTTTGTCCTATCATGCTTTTAGAGCCCTGCTACCCATCCTTCCTTCTCAGACAAATCATCCTCGGCTCCCTGCATCATCATTCTCACTATTGGGATCCCTTTTTCTTTTATCCTGGTTAAGATGGAAAAAAAATAGGGAGGGGGGAGTGACACAAACAATACCAAGTGCTCTAACACTGGGAGAAGTCGAAAAGTTAGTGGGGAGTATACCTTGTACATGTATACCTTGTACACGTATACCTTGTACATGTATACCTTGTACATGTATACCTTGTACACGTATACCTTGTACATGTATACCTTGTACACGTATACCTTGTACACGTATACCTTGTACACGTACACCTTGTATATGTATACCTTCTACACGTATACCTTGTACATGTATACCTTGTTGTGTAAGAATGGTATATAATACCGACAAGATGAAATTAAGACACATGTGCAACATCTGGGTATCTTTATTGTAGACGTTTCGCCATCCAGTGGCTTTATCAATACAAATTCCAGGGCATAACTTGAAGACAGTAGAACTATGTACAGAAGATGAGGTAATCAGTCCCTCAACCTAGGAGTAGGAGCGAAGAGCACCATAGTCGTGGAGATTCTGAAGCAGAAGCAAGGAGCCTGGCGCTTATATAGTAACGTCAGGTGTAGCAGACGAGGGCATAGTCACTGGTAGGCGGGATTCCCCAGTGGAAGTAGGTCCTTCCCAAAGAGATGGGTTAGTTGTAGTAGTAGTTGTCGTAGTCGTGAAGGTTATGTACATGTCCTCAGAATTAAGATTCCATGATGTTGCAGTGTCTGACAAGTTGTGTACGAATGGTATATAATAGGCTCCTTTCTTATGCTTCAGAATCTCCACGACTATGGTGCTCTTCGCTCCTACTGCTAGGTTGAGGGACTGATTACCTCATCTTCTGTACATAGTTCTACTGTCTTCAAATTATGTCCTAGAATTTATATTGATAAAGCCACTGGATGGCGAAACGTCTACAATAAAGATATCCAGATGTTGCACATGTGTCTTAATTTCACATGTATACCTTGTACACGTATACATTGTACATGTATACCTTGTACATGTATACCTTGTACACGTATACCTTGTACACGTATACCTTGTACATGTATACCTTGTACACGTATACATTGTACATGTATTCCTTGTACATGTATACCTTGCACACGTATACCTTGTACACGTATACCTTGTACATGTATACCTTGTACACGTATAAATTGTACATGTATACTTAAAATAATACCTTGTACACGTATACTTGTACACGTATACATTGTACATTTACTTGTACATTATACATTGCATATATTGTACATGTATCTTGTACAGTATACCTTGTACACGATACATTGTACATGTATACTTGCCATGTATACCTTGTACTTGTAAGTATTAATAATATATCTTAGTCATAATATTTTAGATTTTTTTATGTATTTTTATTATTAAGTTGATTATGTAATACATAACAGTAATTGACATAATGCTTTTACTCTTAAATTAGTATGTGAAATATGTGAATATCAGTCATTGTGTAGCATTTGTGCAGTTATTTGT